GAGCAAGCGATGTAGAACTGGTTGAACAGGCCAGTTTAGGCAACCTTTCATACAAAAGGAAACTGAAGTGTCAGAAATGGTCTTCAGGCTGCTGCCAGAGGGGCTATGGAGATGTGTGAGAGACTGCAAAGCTCCGATAGCAATTGTGAAGACTGGCACGCTTGACGTGCCGCAGTGCAATGCCTCCTGGGCCATGGGCATGGCCGCCGCACACGGCCTAGGTGCCGTGCAGCGTACCAGGTGCTTGCAGTGCAGGGGCTGCCCGCGCTGCGCAGCCCTTCTCTTCCTCCTCCTCCACCTCCTCGCATGCTCACAGCAAGGATGGGGGGAATTTGCATGGAAACAGTCTCGAAGCAATAAAAGGCTGAGAATCACAGAATCACAGAATGTTCGGGGTTGGAAGGGACCTCTGTGGGTCATCTAGTCCAACCCCCCTGCCGAAGCAGGGTCACCTACAGCAGGCTGCACAGGACCTTGTCCAGGCGGGTCTTGAATATCTCCAGAGAAGGAGACTCCACAACCAAGTGCAAGCCTCCCAGTGCTAGCCGAGACATTGCACTAAAAATTCAGTGGCAAAACTTGTACTGAGAGAACTCAAAATTAGAGCAAAAAGACCGAGTTGTCAGTACGTAGCAACAAGGCTCAGGTAAGAGGGAACAGACAAGCTGAACTAGAAGGAACAGGCTATCTCAAACTTAAAGAAGGCCTGTGATTCACTTGGATACCTGAAACTGAAGCAGGGAATGCCTTCAGTTAGCGAGAGAGTCCACAACAGGACTCAATGATCAAACTTTGTTTAGATTTTCTTTTAAACCAGACTGTCTACATTGTTGTTAACTAACACTGCTCAAAAGGCACAGCATCTTGCGATTCCAGCTGCAGAGCAAGCAGAGAAACAGGCAATGCAGGCTAGAGAGAGAAAGTAAAGTTTAATAATAAATTTAAAAAGAACATTTTGGGAGGATTTTTTTTTTGCCTTTGCAGTGGCACACAGTCACAGAAACAGTGGGATCTACACAACAGACTTGTTTTTCACTGCTGGCTGTCCCAACTCATGCTCTCCTGCACCAGCTCCAGTGTTTTCCTGACTCTGGGCTGAACTGCTTCTGTGTTAAGTCAGCATAAAACTAAGCCAACAAAAAGGGCAATAGGTTTCTGCCAGGATGTCATGCAAAAACAGTTGAGCACAGGCTGAGAAAGGAGAAAGACTCTGCCGCTCTGGCAATGCAGGCTCAGCCTGATTAGTTAGTGCATCTACAGTAGCTTTACTGACACTTTAAAGCTCCAAATGAGGCTATAATATTATAAATACTTATTTCAGCAAAAACACCATCTTCTGTAGCATAATTTCATTTTTCCCCTGTTGCACATATAACTGCTTGCCCAGCCACTGTCTGTCAGGGGAAGGAAGGGGATTTTTTTGTTGTAGTTGTTTTCAGTCAAGACCAACTCTCCAGTTGAGTTTATCATGTGGCTCTACAAACAGGTGTGCTGGCAAGTGAGGGGTTGCACAGGCCTGGAAACCAGCAGCTGGAGGAAGGAGGCTGCTTAAGCCAGGACAGAAGATAAAAAATATCGGTATTTGTGAAACTGCGGTGCAAGTTCAGGCCATGCTATTCTCCTTAGTGCTGTCTATACACTTAGCAGGTCCTGCTGTAAAATAACTACGACTTAACTAAAAAATAAAAGAATAAAAAATAAACATATAAATAATAAAAAAATATATACATATTATATATATATCACCATCCCATCTCACAGTGAGTGAGCTAGCATACATGTATTAAGATATTTATTCTAATATATAATAATTCTAATTCGAATTAATTTATATGTAAACCCTGTCACAGATTTCTTATATTCTTGCTTTGGATGCAGCTGCACAAGGCTGAGAGCCAATCTCATAGCTCATGGTCCCTAAAATGCTTCTCCTGGCCATGCAGTTCTGCCACTTACCTTACACTATTTCCAGCACATCTTGGACTCTTTCATGAGCTTACACAACTAACCTACATGGCAAAACACAATCAGCAATTGCTCATGCAAGAATCGAATGAGCGCCAGATCCAATGCAAGGAAAGGATGAACTGCACAAGAACAGTGGCGAAAGAGAAACGTGGAGCAGTGACAATTTTTACTTTTAGCAAGGGTGAGTAGCGAAACTTGTTCATCTAGTTACAGAACTGCAGCATAGCTGTCCTGCATTCCTACTGTCTGAATTAACTACAGGATGAGCTTTCGCCACTGAATTTCAACAGCAGTACAGGTTTCAGGCACACACCACACCAAGCAGAACGCAGCGGAGTTTCTTGCTAACTGTTTTGCTGTGTACCACAAGGTGTTGGGCTCTCTGCTTGTATGGACGTGACCTCAATGTGGTCTGGTGCACACTTTGTAGCTGTCATTTTAGACTTCAGTTGTGTAGAGCAGGAAAGGATAGTATTTAATAAACACGCAAGTGCTACAGGTAGTCTCTGCCCATGTGCTCTAATTACCAGAAACAATGTATTTTTCAAAAGCATAAAGCTTATGGTAACTACAAACCATTAGAAAAATCATTTACACTTGTGACTACCTGCAAAGGTTATTTAAGCAGCCCACTGTAGGAACTATTGCTTTTAATAATCTAACAAGGATCTAAAAATCATGGTGAAGTTCTTTGCTCAGCAGAGCAAAACCCGTCTTATTTTGAAGCCATTTTCACAGGGGTTTGTGTTCTGTAGAATAAAATCTGAACTAGAGCCTTGAGCTGGCAACACACAAAGGTTTTCCTCTATTGTAGCTACAGCGCTTTGTCTCTCAACAGAGAAACTGGGGCCAAAGGCGAACAAAGCAAAAAAAGAGTGTTAAACAGATGGATAAGACAAAAAAAACCACCATGAAATGCAAGGATATGCTCTCAGTGCCTGAGGGAAGCACTGAATGGAGGGGAATCCAAATCCAAGGCGATACTTTTCGGGCTCTAAAACCTGGACCAAGACTCAAGACTGCCACCAACCTACTTCCACTCTGATCATACAAACCAGACTTCCCACTTCAAAAGGTTGCTCACTGCAGAAAAAACGTCACTTCACCCAGCCTACGAAAAATGTTAGCTATCCTAAATGTTTTTGCTCTCCATTCCACAAAACCATATAACAACAAACATGGCTTAATGAAATATCAATTCTATTATTATTATTAAATAAATGTATTCAGAATGCAAAATGTTCTTACTTTGAATGGATGTTAGATTATTAGAGGGAAATGAAACGACCCTTTAGTTGTACAACAGTAACACTGAAGAAAACAACCCTTTTCCTTGACATGATCATGCATTTAAAAAAGGAAACACAAACAAACAACACATGCCCAGACCAGCTCGAAAATCTTGTGTTTCACCACCTTAACTACAATGCTTTATTTTCTTACAGAGGTCAGCATTTCCCTAGATACTCCTGTCTAAGCATAAGAAGTGAGACCAATATACTGAATCAAACTTTTCCCAAGAATGCTCTTGCTAACAAAGTATTACACACAACAATCTTTGCAAATTACATTGAATCAGAGGGCAGAGGTTAGCAAAACTGAATCCAGGTACTAATGTTGTTTATGCCCTAACAATGATCTAAAAACAACTGTGTGTACTTTGCTGCTCCATTTTAAAAAAAGAGAAGGATGAAGAACATTTTCTCTAGGCGCAGAATGCTTACAGAGATCAGAAACTTACTTCTATAAAGGTGAACAAGCAAAAATGAGCAAAAAGAAAATCAATAATTATTCTTTAAAAACAAGAAAGCCCTCAAGATAATGGAATACACATAAATAGAATTTTTACTTGTTCAACATTTTGGTTGTTACTCGGAGAATGCCAACATGACATATTTCTTTAGGCTTTTTTCCAAAGTCAGTATGATCTATAACAGGTTTCAATCCTTTATTTATTTATTGGTATTAATTTTTGTTACTTTTTAGAATATCTGTATCCCTCCATCTTCTTGTTCACTAGTCACTTTGTGTAGGAAACTTTTCTATTCTCTATCTGTAAATCTATAGGTTGACTCATATCGTAATAAAAAATATTTACGTTCTGTAACAATGCAAACAACTCCCCCATCCTTTCTATGATTACCAGTGAATTTAAACAGAAACAGTACTTTCAAGTAATTTGGTTCTCTCTGTAATTTATAGCAATATATGGGTATGACATAAGGATATACATACACGTTTCTCTGCTAGTTTAAGGGTCTAGCATGAGAAATCTCATGTTTCACATTATTGCACCCCTTCAAGAGCACTGTTCCACAGGTACTGAAAGTTCAACTTTAGGATTAATGTAAGCCAACCTGAGTGTTCAGGACACACAAGAGAATGGTTGCAGCAGTGCAAAGGCTTTACAATTGCAAAGTAGCAACACCGCTTTCATTTTATTAATTCTAAAGTTTAAACACACACAACAACTTTTATTAAAACTAGTTCATCATTCAGCCAAGTTTATTTTGCCTGCGATGTGTCTATTGTTGCTTGTGCAGGCTGAATTCTCAATATAAAAATAGTCCACCCATTCACATGCTTTCTTGGGAACATGCAGGCCTCATGGTGAAGTTTTACAATGCAGCTGGACTAACCTAATGGCTCATTGCCACCAAAATAAGGCAGTCTTACTCTTTCTTACACTACCTTCCCTCTGCTGTTCCTCTGCACTGGCTCAGGGACGTCTGAACCCCTGATTTGATACAAGGAACCACAGGACACCTCTTTCAATGCAATCCAGTCATTTAGCTGCTTCAGCCATCTTGTGGAATCTCAAACATGGTGACGGGAACACTTGAGACAAAGGGCAGGGCAAGAGAAGAAGTGCTTTGGGGTTTTTTTACGGATTCACTTTTTAGATTATTATTAATATTAGCATAAAATGAAGTAGCATTCTTACCTTTCATTGCTATTTTATCCATTCACTTACATCACTGTTTTCCATCTTACCAAAAAACCATAATATAATAAACAAAATACTTACTTACCTACAAATCCTTTCTCTCCAACCAATTTAAGGGCAATTTTATCTGCCAAAACAGAAGAATTTCCATGTGCAATGTTAGCAAAAGGTCCAGCATGAACAAATACTGGTGTTCCCTGAATGATAAAAGATACATATCATTAATTTAATGGATAGGTAAGAACACAACCTCAATACTCTTGCAGACTGATCAAGACGCTATATAAATCAAAGCACGTATAGCTAGTAAGTGCCATTAGATAATTTAGGGGCTCTAGGTACATCTCTGGTGCTTGAGACCCCATCCACTGACAGGCCTAGATGTCAGAACCTGCTTCATTCACAGAAAGGTAACGGACAGCAGCGCAGCCTGTAGGTAACTTACACAACTTCTCACCCAACCTTGTACTAATGTTTCGTATTTCCACTGCCCCAATCCTGTGGCGTGCTGTTCTGGCACATGTGCTACAATCAGCACTAAGGGTATCACTGCAGATGGTACACAAACAGAGCCCAGCTCCTGCCCTACTCCATCCCTTACTGCTCCTGTTTTCCTCATTGACTGTAATTGCCATTCCTGTGCAGGCAAAGTAGCCAGTGGAAGCAATGAGGGACAGAGTCAAAGGTTAAGGAGCTGGAGAGCGACAAGGCAAAGCATGTGGCTGGGGTGCAGTGGGCATGCTGATACAACGGAAAAAGCATTCGTGGCTGCTGGCCGAGTGCCTGGCAGCTCCGGGTGCAGAGCTCAATTCCCCTATGCTAGACACCACACAAACGCACAAGGAAAGTAGACTCTCTAGCAGGGAGCAACCTAACGCAGCAAAAGGATAGGCAAGGAGTTAATAAAGCAATGGCATAGGGAAATTTGTCAAATAGCAAGCAAATCTCAGCTTCCCTGTTACTTTTTTGGTAGGCATCCCAAGGAAAGAAGAAATTAGAAAATTAGCATCTACAGAAAGAGATTAGGATTAGGTGAGATATATCAACTGCTATCTTTTTCTCCAAGTTAGAATACACAATCAGACAGAAGGCTATCACTTTAGCTGCCTTACCATAAAATACTTAAGCAAACAAATCCCCACTGTCGTGTTAATGCTTTTAAAAAAACCCAGCTGGTTAAAGAAAAGGTAAGCAGAGAACTCAGATTATCTCCATCAATGTTCTTCACACATTCTGTATTAGGAGCTACTGCCAACCCCGAGAATTTCAGGCAAGCTACTGGGCAATCTTCCTCAGTTTTTGGCCACAAACACCAATTAAGGAGGACAGTGTTCTGCAGGGCAGCTGCAGGCCACATCCAACAGCCCCATGAATTACTAGTTGGAAATTTAACCATACAATAAAAGCTGGTTGCTCACCACCACCACCACCAGTGTCTTAAGAAAACAACCTACATAGACAAAAATTTCCATGTTTTCCAGAAAAGACCAGAACAATTGGATTACAGTAGTGAAATACTTGCTACTACAGAAAACAGATTTTCCCATTTCAGTAAATTGAATACAAATAAATAAAACATATAAACAACAAGCATCCCTTCTTATTGCTTCGTCTGTAGGTAATTATATATAATTAATTTTTTTGTTCAGAGCAAAGTCAAGTAACTTTTTATCCACCAGCACATCAAACTTCAGGTTTGTTCTAATAAAACACGGGATTTTTTTTTTTTTTTTCATTAAGAGTGGAAAAGGAGACTAGGCATACACATGGGCAGGGGGTATTCTCAAAAAACCTAGATAATTAAGCTGTAATCCAAAGACAACTCTGCCTCATACATGTTGGAGAAGAAACAGTGGAACTGGGGCACCAAAAGGTTAATAAACCAGAAATCATGCCCTGTAACAAAAGGAATGATGCAGATTATTATCATCTTAACACACGGACTTCATAGTGTTCACTCAGGATTTTTTTTTTCTTGTTTTCTATCTGCTAATGACTACATACTGCAATATCAATTGGGATTGTACATATTTATGCAAAAAATTTAACTTGAATTATGTACACCTTCAAAGCTTCTTACAGTATTTAGGCATCAATCTAACAGGAGGTGCTGTGCAAAATAAAACATTACCACTATCGCAAAGAGCTTACAACTTATAGAAAATAAAATGCAAACCACTCTCACAAACCAAAGTTTTACTTCCTTTAGTTTTACTTTTACTTTAACCCAGTATTTACCCTTCTGGCATTCAAATAAGTAAGACTGCAATTTTCAGCTAACAGATTGAAATCCACGGAATTTATTCCGATTTCCGTTTTATTGCTCACTAAGTTTAATTCTGCTCTTCCAAGATCTTAATTTATTGTGGCAAGCAACTACAGGGCTGCTTTTGTTAGAGCCCAGTGTACACATGGGCATATGTGATGTATGGAAGCACAAACACAGATGATGAGGGCAGCCCAGCCCATACTGTGGCAGCGATGCAGAGACGGGGCCAGAAGGGTCTCCCACAACACTCCCTGTGCAGTTGTGCTTTCAAGGATTCATCCACACAACACAGATGGGAAGGACATTTGGATTGTGGGGACCAACATCCAGAATATCAGTAGCCAAGAGTCTCCTTGGCACTAGCTTGAAATCCAAACACACAACTGAATCACCGGCATGGACAGATGCTCCCCCAGAGCTCCGAAATCCACCAGAAGAAAAGGAGGAGTTATGCGAATAGTCTTTCTACAAGGGCAATCCTGGAAGAAAAATACAGTCTAGGTATGGAAGGGAGTGAACTCCAGCAGAACCTCAGGAGCCTCAGGCACAGACTGGAACAGGGAGAACGACGTCTTCTTGGGCCAGCTTCAGTGACTCTGTGTCAGCCCATATGTCCCACTCTGCAGAGTGTGCACTTCTTTCTGTTACGCTCTTAATAATGGAGAAACAAACAGCGGCACAGGGATGCATTCTGCTGACTGTTTTCAGTACAGGAAATTTCATTATCCAAGTTTTAGTAAAAGAAAATAAACCCAGAATATCAATAAATATCTGAAGTTATCTGGCCGCTAGACTGATGTTTATAATACTTATTAGCATCCTCCCCTCTTCTTCACTGTGAGTGGCACTTCAAATGTGACACGAGCAGACCATCCCCGAGCAGCCAGCCTGCAACTACAAAGAGGTGTCCCATAGAGCAGCTGCTCTGTTACGCATGGTATAAATAAAAGCTAAACATTAAGGGATTAGTTCATGAGGGAACAAATCTGTCATGACAAACATGGATAAACACTATGAAATCATTATGTACACTTCAAACAAAGTAATTGAAACTCTACAACATTGGATAGAAGTTCTACTGAAGCCTGCAGTTATTGTAGGTGGGGTGCCCTACGTTTTCCATTTTGAGATTTTACTGTCATTCCTGCACATAAAACACTATCAATCACTAACGCCTCGAGGCTGCATTTCTGGTGACAGAGTAGCAAGGTTGTGCTGGAAATCAACCCACCAAGAAACCTCTTTAAAAAACCAGAAAATTAACACCAATTCACATATATAAAAAAAAAAAGCACTGACACAAGTTGCCAGCTCAGTTCCACGCAGGATTGGCATTTGGTCATTTCTGATTTGTGAACTTCTAAATCTCGTATCCAGTGCATGCAGATGCCCACATAAAGCTGGTGCAAATCTACTGAGTAGGTCATTCTCCTCCCCTTTCATGGGCCCTTACAAGCAGCTCCTCAGACCTCCACAGCTTAACACAATACCCATCTACAGGCTCTTGGCCAGCTCACAGACAAGTGCAGCTATCTCAGCAATGGCTACTTTCAGCTGCTGCCACCCACAGACATTATCGCTTACAAATTATGCCAAATCAACTGTCAGTGTCAGCTGGAAGTCACCCAGAAGATCTCCTGCTCCCTCTCGTCTGGCAGCCTTTTTGCCACTACCCAATACCAAAGTGATCTGGAAGACCTACTTTTGGTGAACAGTTTCTTCCCTACTTGCAGGTCAGGTCCACAGCACAGTCTGAGCTGCATTTGTGTTCTCTTTAATCATATTATTCTGTTTTTCCATCACCTGTGTGCTGTAGGATCATTTCCGAAGTAACTGCGGTCAAGTCATGGTGCTGTTGCTAAAGGTCTTTACATTTTATGGAGAACTTGTTCTCCCTGAAGGGACAGGATTATGTTGCCCAATTACTGTTGGTAGCCCCTCTGAAAACTTGAAGTCCCTATTCTTTTGGATGCTATTTATTACGATTATTTAAATTTAGGCTTCAGTTCTCCTCCTGTCTGGTTTGTGAGAAGAAAGACTTGCAGTTCACACACTCATCAGAAATATGTCATTCCCTATAGCATAACAGACACTATTACATCCATCACCTCAGGGTACACTAGGATTAGCATGGCTTAAAATCCATCATACTGGAGGGTTCTAAATTCACAGGTGGATCAGTGCGCTACAAGTGTACAGGGCAAAATATCTTCCTTTTCCCCCTATCCCTTTCTTTGGAAAAACTGAAGCTATCAAAATTAGCACCTCTTCAAGATATTAACATGAATAATTAAAAATAGAGGTATTTATTCACAAAATGGGACATGACCCAAGCTTGAGGCTCAAGAACAGTAGCAACAGCATGGGCAGTAACAGAGTAGGCCATTGCATCTCTACACAAAAGCAACGACACATTCCAAGAGGCACACATCAGCCAAAGCACAGCAGTATCTTGGAAAACATTCAGATAAACCAGAGATTTCCATTCTTGGACAGGTGATTCATATTAGCCTGCAAACCAACAGGTATTCGAAGAGTGACAAAAGTTACTCTTTGAGACTCAAATGGCAGTAGTAGAGCATGAAGCAGTCTGCTGAGCTGCTTTAGTCTGACGTTTTAAAAATAATTTTGTAAGAAGAATTTTTGGGAAAAAAAATCTTGGGTACTGTGGTCAGGGTCCTTCTACCAAACAACAGTGTTTGATGAAGGCTGGCAGATGTTTCAGCCATAGCATAGATTAGACTAGAAAAGAATACCACATAAAAGGCAGGAATTTTAGTGCATAGAAATAAGAATATGAAGAAATGCAGTGAAAAAAAAAAAGCATGCAAGTCCCAGAACCAAATGCCTATCAATGAAAGAAAGCTCTTCTGACATTTAAAATTGTATTTTAGAATACTACAACAAAACCACATTATTTTCAACCAGACAATGCAAAGTGCAAACAGTGTCACAGACTATAACACTCAGAATCAAAGCTGCCTTGTCACTGATGCTTAACACACACACAATGTTATCCAAGTGGCGATTTAATACACAGTTCTGGCCGTGACATTCCTGATCCTAGGTGACCTCCGGTTTCTGCTACTGGATGTTTTATTAAATGCTGACACACACATATATTCTTCAGACAGCCACATAAAAGAACTGACGTTTGATGTTTTTTGCAGGAGAAAATAATTAAGATGGCTACAGTAAAATAACATAGACTTAAATTCTATTTTCCTAATATTCCCTGAGAGTAGGAAGTTGTCCCCATCCGAACACAAAAGCAAAAAGGTAATTATCACTTTGACATGCTATGGAAAATGAGACATTTTTACCAGCTGGGGATTGCACTGGTATCTTTCTACATTCTTCACCCTTTCACCATAACAGGAATTGTTGTGAAATATTCCAGCTATGTAGTTTTGATGGTCAAACTTTCAATAACGTACAATTATATACAATGCTCCAAAAGCATTTGTTTTCAAAACTGCTTCATTATTTCCCATTTTTCTTCCTCCCTCTCCCCATGAATATTGCTCACCATTTAACTTACTATTGAAAAGGCAATACTAGACTGCCCAGACACAGTTAGGTTGTACTAATTCAGCATTTTTTGAGCTGTTGGAAGAAAACTCACTTCCTCTCATAGGCCAGAAAAGCTTCATTTAGTCCCCAAAGGCACTATGGCAAGATAGGGTAGCTGAGAGCCCTTCTGAAAAAGCATGAACAGGCAAAAGGATCCTCCTGTGTTTATGAACAGCACAAACTATAATACAGAACAAACAGCCTCAGCGAAGCATCTGCTTTCCACTCAAAATGCTGTGCTGTGGGAATCATCATGGGAACATACATATAAAAGAAATACATAAAAAGGAAACTTCCCTAGAAGAGCAAGATGGCAAACAGAAGGAAGTCTATGACTCGGAAGCCAAACCTGCCTTCCAGTGTGCTCAGAAGCAGTTCAACAGTGCACTGTGGCTTGTTTGCAACACTAGACAAAAATATGACTAAAGCCAGAATCTCTAAGAAAGGGAAAAACCCACCAAAGAGGTATAAATGCAGATAGAGTTGATTAGTTAACATACACAAACGAACATTTGCTAAAATGCCCCTATGGATTTGACCCTGGCTTGAACCTTGAAAGTTAAGAATGGTTGCAGGAGAGAAGCATGACAAGCACAATATGGAATTTGAAAGCCAGAGAAGAAGGGCAGGCATCATAAGTGATACTCACCTCTAATGTTTGCATTAGCGTTGGCTTAATTGCATCTTTCATCAAAACTGCCAAAGCACCTGTTACACCCTAAAACACAAAAGTCCCCATTTTAAGGAAGTCAATTCTAAGGTGCAACATTTCTGAGTTACACTTAAGCTTACAGTTAAAACAGGGAAAAAACCTTACAGTCCAAAAGAGAAACAGAAAGTGTGCTCATAAACCATAATGGATAATCAGCATTACAGTGTTGCATACAGAATTTATTTAGATGTTACCTCAAGACTTCTAACATACTGTATTTACAGAGTGTGCCAGAAATAGTAACAATTTTGTTCTGAATACACTTAAAAGGCAGTAGGTAAATATTCTTCCTATTTCACGGAGAGACCAGAAACAGAATTATTAAGTGATCAGCACGACAATGTTCATGGGAACAAAAGACGAAACAGAAGCAAAGGCCACTGAGACCACAGAAAGCAAGAAGGCAAAAACTTGCTAAAACTGCCTAAAGAAATGACAGATGTATTTCTTTCATGACAGAATCAATAGCACAAATCAATAGCTAGCAACAACCAGAACAGGTATTTTTCAAGACTTGTGCAAATATACACATAATAGACACAGGATGAAAGCAGACACAGAGTTGACCAGGGATAAATAATGAATACATCATGAGATTAAAAGCTAGAGCTGCCTTACTGTGATGATGAGAGAACAAAAGCAGCTAAGTCAATTGCTGCATTTTGGTTGTAAAAAAACATTCCTCCCTAAAAATCTTCTAGGATATTAAGTATAAATTTCACACTGACTGAATATAAAATAAAAGAAAGTCGTGACACCCCTGTACACCAAAATTCAATGCCCATTTTAGAAAAAACTGGCCACAGAGTGTGCACAGCTCTATCAGACTATACGCAGAGTGCTTTCTAGAAACCACAGGCATATCTTTTCAATTTATTCCTAAATTACTTTAAGAAGAAAATAGTTTTTGCCAGAGAATATAAAAAATGAATTTAACGTGCTGTTGTACTGAAAAGAAACATTAAAACCAAATAAAAATACCAGCTGCTGTAAACTGTTTAAAATGAAGGTTGAAAAACATGGATGTATTAGCTGAGTAGCCTATTATGAGCTGAACAGTAACATTCAAATAAAGAAGAGCAATGAAAATAGCACCTGTATAATCTCAACACAGCTCCTGCCAATTAACCCCAAAATTTGAACAATCAAACTCTGTGTGAAAATCTGAATGACAGACAGATGAGACACATAAAAGCACGTGGTTATTATGTAAGTACAGTACTTTAAACAAATACAAGATTCCCATTTCTGAGCATCACATCTGAACACAGACTTCAGAAAAAAATGCAGCAGAATATTTGGTCTTGGATAAAAATGAAATGAAACCAAAATAGTAAAATTGGTTTCTACTAAAGCATAGGAAGTGTTTTGTTGGAGGAAAGTGAAGGAAAGGAAAGAGAGGCACAAAAGGCGTTTCTTCACTCTTTGCATTTTGTAAACTCCCCCTATCTACAAACACAAACAGACTCACAAAGACATAGTGTGAGAAACTGGTAGCAAAACAATATAGTTTTCCCTCTTCTGAATTAGCAAAGAATACATTTGTTTTTCTTAATATGTTAACTTTAAAAGAAAGGTATGTTGTACCTACACCCAACTACTCTCATTTGAATCCAAAGCTGATGGCCTAAACACAAGGAAAATGGAAAACTTGTTAAAAAGAGAAATTAAATTATTTTTGCTTTTCACTTCCACAAGCTCCTTTATCTTTATTGGTAAGATTATAAACTAATTATGTTAGATAACTTAAAAATGCAGAACAAATCTCAAAAACAATGTTTCAGAAAGTTTCATTTAACCAGTATCCCATAAAATTTTCTGCTGTTAGAATAAAATGTAACTTCAATATTATATCCATAACTGAGCTTGCTTTTTATGACCATGGAAAAATAACTGCCACTGCTATTGCCTTTGATTTCTTATATTTTAGTAATTTGTAAAACTCTAAAGTGTGCATATTTCTTTGGATAATAAATTTTAAATCTGTTCAGTACAACAACTTGCTTTATAAAACTGATTTGATTCACTTCCAGATATGAAGCACTTACATAATAAAATAGTGAATACCCAGTCCCAGCTCTAAGGATTTAAAATGAAATGGAACAAATTTCAAACCTACCAGTTTCTTCATTAAACTCCAGTTTTTAATCCTACTACTTTATAAAAAAAACTCTTTTTCTTTTGCTTGTTGATCATAGTGCAGCATCTGAATTCATTAAAAAATTCATCAGAGTTTGCAATATATTTATTGAATAGATCTATATGCCTGTTTTTTTCCTGCTGTTTGATCAATTCAGCAGCCAGCTAGGACAGAATTTCTCAGACTAGGAGCACAGTTCTTCCCCTTCCACCCCCAGCTGAAGGAAATGATGCTCGGCACTAGTTGCTAGCAACCCAAAACTATAACAGCTAGTTAAGTTGTTCATCTTCTGTCTCACAGAAAGCAGAACCACGTACACACACTAGTCAGGAGGCAATAAGTAATAGAAATATCTAAAATAGAAGGTTGGTTAATTTTACATTTTCTTCCTGTATCTCAGTTTTTCCATCATCATATAGCACAAGCTATTCATCATTCCACTAAAAGAGAAACAGCTGCTGATAATTTCAGCATATGAATGCTGAGATAGTTTACATCTTACCACGTAAAAGGCAATTTAAATAGCTATCCAGCTTTCAGGAGAAAAAGAGCCAAATGGAAAACTTTATATCAGGTCTTCCGACTGGTCAATTGCAAGGTTAACCACCTGAGCAGCCACGGATCAGCCCTAAGGTTCTTCTTGGGAAACATGCCTAAGGACTGACAGCTGTTAACTCATGCCAGCTGTAGCCATCTGATCAGGGATTTCTGTTGCCTGCTTCATGCTGGATGAGACAACCGGCTCATTCAACATAAGCATGCAAACAGCCATTTGCTGACTCAAGCCACGCTGACTGGAAAGAAGGCTTTGGGGGAGAAGTAAAATGTAAAATAAAGTCAGGACACTTTCTCCCTCCCTCCCCCTCCTAGACAATAATGGCTCAAATCCTGTCTCCTTTGACTTCTGACAGTTCTTCACAAATCTGATAAAAACAGTGAAGCAAAAACCCCAAACACTTCCTATGCATTTTAACTTTTTGGGACGCTTCATCCATATTAGATATGCATTCTGGACACAACAACTCATTGTATCTGAAGCTGAAAGCAACGGAAAAAAGATGCAAAGCCTCCAGTTAACACACATGCTGACTATCTGCCTTCCATGGTTCTTAACCAGGTTTGGTGTCAACAGCAGTGCTTACAAGCTAAACAGCCAACAAAGTTTTCACATCTATGTGATGTGATTCTGTCAGAATAAAGTTTTCACTCCTTCATATTCCCAATCTGTTAAGCAGCTAGCAAACTATTCCTAAAGATCACTTGAAGTCCTGGATCTGATTCTCAAAGCTATTTAAGGAATCAGGTTTCCCTTTCCAATTCAGAGAAGGTAGACAAATTTTTTACAAAGGAATTAGAGGCTTAGACACTTACACACCAATTAAGCATGTGAGAGCCCAAGGATCATTAGCTTTCCACTAACCCACTGTCAGAAGAAAGAAGTAGGACTTCAAATCAAATGTATATGGACACCCCACACTCCTGGGTTCCTTCCTGGAAGTGATCCCAAGTACTTCTGAAAATAATATCCCTTCTATCTATCCACCAGCCATTGGGGCAGGTATGCTCCCCAGGACAGCAAAGATCATAGAGCACGAAATAAATTACACACGTGACACAGGAAAGGCAAACTTAGATGAAAAACCAAAACACTTCCAAAGCAACTTCCAGTGGAGCAGTCTCTGAAGTCTATCAAGCGTGGAAATGGAAGCCAGCATTAGATGACAAGATGATTGGAAATAACTACTGTAAAATGAATAAGGGTTACACAGACTGAAGGACAGAGAAAAACCCTTTTCTTTATAAGAAAATAATGAACTACATGTAACTTCCCTTCAATTGAAACTGTAGTCTCTAACAAAATGATAATATTTTTATGCAATATCAGTTCTGTAAAAAACTAAACCCTAAACTGTAAGCTTGAGAAGAACTGCAACTATTTTTGTTTAAAGTGAAGTATGTATGCAATGATTCTGATGAACCAGAGAACAAAATATATTCAGCTGTCAGATCAGTTATAAAAGTAAATATGAAGCTATTTTTTTTGGTCCTGGAATTATTGAAATCTAACAGTATGGCATAGAAAGTAAGTTGAGAAGTCTTATATTAAAAAAATAGCGACATATTTATTTAATATTTTTCATAGCTGCTGAAATACTGATCTAGGGCATACATACCCATTTAGTTTCACATAAAGATATGGCATGTGTCCATATGAATTCTACTACACTGCAAAAGCCAAAAAGCAATTCAGTCTTCAAAATACTGTACAATGAGCACCACATTTTGGCAAAGACTTCTGTAGGTTCCATTACAGAGGACAGATACTTAATCCACTACTCTTGTAGAAAGAGTCTTCTCAATTCATGAAATATCTAACTTTTTTTCTATTACTCCTAGCCTGCCTCTGTATTTGGTTTATATCTGCCAATGTGTATTTGAGGTTTTGATATTGTATTATTATAAATATATCACATATAAAGTCAAAATTAAGAGCAATTGTGTTTTTGTGAAGTATATTGTGTGTACATCTGGAAACAAATCACAGAGAAGGATATAGTGGTTTTGGTTCACATAGACTCTAACGAACTAAAGACTACCGTCAAACATCTAAACTTGCATAAATTCAATCAGGGTAGTATATACAAAACACAATCCCCAGATTTTTTTTTAAGTGACAGGTAGGACTGACCACCACTCATTTTCAGATTGCGTGGTACCTCCCATGATATAGCTGCCTTTAAAATTTGTTAAAACTATACGCAATTGCAGTTCTTTTCACTTATATGTTCCATGTCAAGTGGCTATGATAGATTCAAGCTTTGAAACTTGTTTTTGTTTATGAAAATTTAAGTCAAAATGATCAATCTCTTGGACTGAAAGCATTCAAAAACCTTGTATATTGTTTTTCCTATGTTTAGTCATCTTGAGATCTTTGATTTCTGAGCTACAAAGCTTTACCTCCTCTGTGACCCTGACTCAAAAGAAGGATGAAAATTCAGGAGGAGAATGGCTTCACACCAAACCTCTCATTACATCTGAAAATTTGCTTAAGATATATACCTTGAGAAAACAAAAATTACAGTACAGATACGCATTAGTGAATGCTTAGCCTTGGCCCATCCTCCCCAGAAAGCTTTAGCCGCAACGTGCAGTTTGCTTACTGCCTAGGGTGCAACAACTGTATCTACAGTCTGCACCAGGCTGGACCAGCTTTGGGTCTGGACACCTGGACCACAAGCAAAGAGCTCATCTCCTGGATCCTGCAGGAATCCTTTTCTAACACGTACAAGGAAGAGATACAACCTGCACAGTCTAAATGAAGAGGGGTCAAAAGCTGGGCTTGCAGAAGCACAGTAACAACATAAGGCAGCACAAGCAGCAGGGGGAAGAGTAGATACTGCATTTAAAGTCTAGAAACAGTAGGTTTAGTTGCAAGCTGTTTGAACAGACTGACCACCTGTGGGAAGAAACCAGGAACAGAGATGAAATGTCACCAGGTAGAATTGAAATTTATCTTCTTTGTACATATGAATTATGACATGGTATGGTCTTTGATTATACATCTCCTTCTATTGTTTCCAGAGGATGCAACTTTATACTATAAACTTTCATAAGTGAAGTACAGTTATTCATAAGCTCTCTCCCTTTGCACAAAGTAACCAATATTTAATTTGATAAAGAAATCTTAGTAAGAAAACCCACTACTAATTTCCTGTTTTGATATTTCTTAAACCCCAACACCACCATCTGATTTCTTCATCAATATTAATGTCTGCAGAAATGAACAATTGTTCCTGTTTTCCAACGAGAAACTGGCATACACAAGGATCAAACTCAAACGTATTCACCAATTTTGGATGCTCCACCTGAAGAAACATAAAATAATTTCTC